ATGGAAACGGTCCAAATTAACGTGACACCGTGATTTATGATTGCCGTGTATAATAAATTCAATGCAGGTGAGGTCAATGTCAAAGGAACAAGTAGAACTACTCAGATCTCACTACAAGAAATATCCACATTGATAGCACGTGAGCATAGCTCATTTTCCGCAACTGCTATAAAAACTAAAAAAATTATTTGATTACTATATTATAGCATTGAAACAACGTTAAGATACCAAATTAGCAAATGGAAATGTAAAATCATTTATTCCGCTAATACTTTGGCCAAAAATTTCACTTAAGCGCCACAGTCTACTCATTTCCCTCTTTCTAATAGATTCAGACCTAAAACTTCTCACAAACATTTCCCCCTTTCACCCAAAACCTATCGAGAACTTCTCACATACTCATATCGATTAGTGGTCTCACTCTCCTCCTTTCGATCTCACTCTCTCGTCCTCCCTCTCAGTGTCTTTTTTTTTTTATCTCCCTCTCCTCTTTAAATCTGGTTTGGTTTTCGTTTGAAACTGTGAATCGTGTTTATAAATGATTTTGTTTAACAGCTAATGCGTCGAGATTTGTGTGTTCACGAACTCTTGACGGTGGAAAGGTTTGGAGATTGATTAGGGTTCTTCCTCATACTCGTTACTAGTTCCTCCAGGTTTAATTTATTTTTGTTAAGTGTTGTTGTTTTATGGAGTTTCCTCAAGATTTATGTTGATCCTGAACCCCTAAGGTATTTGATTTTCTAGAGTCTAATTTTTTCGTACCATCTTTAGTGCTTGTCTTTTATGCACACCATGTGTTCGATGAAAATACTAGCTTAAAGTTTTAAAATCATTTAGGTTCTGCAACTTATCCAGAAACGTAACACTCTTTTTTACTTTGAATTTGATTTAAAGAATTGATTTTTTTCGTTTCTGTTTGTTGAGGATTTGCACAAACATGACGCCTTGTTTCTATGTCTCTTTCTCTCTACGTCTTTGTTTTGTTAGCTCGTGGTCGGTTAGATGGATCTGGGTTTGTGGATCGATTAAGAGTTATCTCTTTATATCGATGTTGCTTAGTGTTAACCAGTTTGACTTAGGATTTTGATTATGTAGTTTTTCTGTAGATGAGCTCATTGTGCTCTCTAGATGTTCGATAAAATGTCTAGGTGAGACTCAAACTGGAAAAATTGCATTCAGCCGGTTTGTTTTTTCATTGGTGTTGTAGGGTAACGATCTATAGTAGGAGGTAAGAACAAGAAGACCAAAAGATTGTTCCTAAGTTCAATAATCTCTATCTCAAGCTTCTCGTCAAGAAAACAAAATAAGGAAAGGTTTTTTATGCTTCTTTTTCTCTATCTGTTCCATTGCTTTATTAAGATTTGGTCATTTTAAGAGTTGAAATTGTAAGTTCTTTAATCTGTTTCCATAGATGATTACGTTTAGCTACTTTAATTGTATTTCTACATTGAGTTTATAATGATATGATTATCTGATGCATTATGTACCATTGGATGTTATTAGATTCTCGTGGAATGGTTTTAGTATCTAATAGGAATGCTAGTGGACATTTTATTATATTAGGTCATTGTTAAGTAAGGTCTCTTTGTTCAGTATCTCAGGACATTTTTACATATGAATGAGATATCAATTTCAAGACTTTTTCTTACTCGATATCGCAGGAATCTTGTGTAGATTCTGTCTGTAATAAGGGAGCCTCTCTTAAGTCAACCTTTAGCAACTCTTGCCTTTCATATATCCTTCTCCACTAGGTAAGTCTCTATTCTTTCTTTCGTCAAGTGCAGCTAGAAGTCAAGCTCTCTTTTATTTCTAAAACTATGTGTGATGATTTATAGGTTTCCTTCTAGTAATGACTTATAATTTTCTCTGTCTCAGTTTAGTATTGACAATATACTTAGCTTCAATTAAGCTATTGGGAGATCGAGTTTTGGTTAGAACCAAAGAGGCAGAGGAAAAGACTTGACTTTTGAATAGAGAGAATTGAGAGATTGATGATAGTGAAGGTAGCATCAAACTTGTTTAATTGGTTTGGTTTCTGAAACATCATTTTATGGATATTGTTAGTGGTAAGCTAGATTAGCTGCATTGATTTCACTTATGTGGTTCGTCACTTCTCTTTTCAGAATTCTCAGAAGTTCCTAATCTAAGCAAGTGGTTTTCGAGTTATGTCTATGAGTCACCGATGTTGGATACAAGTGATTGTCTTGACTTTCTTGAAGAAAGTAAAGGTACAAAGGAAATGGAATTAGTCTCTTCTCATGCTAAAGACATGTCTCAATCGCAGGTTGAGTTTTCAGGTGAGTAAAGAGATTTATTTACTAATAAAGTGACTCAATAAGTTTATGGTCAAGAAGCCTGAATTTTACTTGTTTTATTTCATGTTCTAACAGAAGGTATAATGAATCTCGTCGTTGAGGACAGTGACATAGATGAAGACTGCAGTATTTGGGGAAAACCTAAGAGAAAAGGTAGCAGTATTTTTCGAAAACCTAAGAGAAAGGAAGAGACTACAACAACCTATGAAGCTGAACTAACTTCCTTGAAGAATCGAGTCCAATATCTAGAAAACGAAGTAAGGATTTTGCATAATCTCATCAACAACTTCCTTGGCAAAAGTAGTATATAGAAGTTAGGTTATTAGTTTAAGTATTGGATTAAGACTTGTATTATGTATGAATTGATTTTTGGTTTATGAAATGATGTTATCTTTTGGATGTTTATTATACATATATATAACTAAACAGGTTCCACCAAATGAAAATAGATTAATACAACCGCATAAAATTAGAGTTATGGCACTGAATATTATAGCATCATAAAAATTATAGATCATAGCTTATATATATATCGCTATTATAAGTCGTTATATCAAAGCGTTTGCCTAATGCTATGGTAGAATGCTCTATAATAACATACGGAAAAAATGCTATTGTATGTAGGGGGTCTACCATAACAGGGGCATAAGATAGCGTTTATGAAAACGCTATTAATGACATATGATAGCTCTTATCTCTTGCTAATAATGTAGATATTTCTTGTAGTGTCTCCATTGGATAAATCTTTCAAGAACAATTCAAGACCTTGTCAACCCCTAAACGGCCGGAGAGTTGAGATGTTCCACGACCGTGTCGATAAAAAAGACACCGGCAACAAAAAGAAAAGACCCAATTAAAATATTGTTACATTGTCTATTGGTTTGTTTAGAACCCTACTTAGCTTTGTAAAACTAATAATCTCTTATGTAGTACTGTGTTGTTGTTTACGAATTGATCTTCGTTTTCCAAAATTTATTATGTGGTGTTGTGAGATATGTGCTACGTTTAAATGAACAACGTGAATCAACTAATATACTCCTATTTATAGTATAATAAGAAGTTAAGAACAAATGAATTATATGTCGCAAAAATTAATTTGGATCCACGTTTTAATATTGCCGATAAGGCGATAACAAGAGTTACATGAAAATCCTCTAACCAAAAGTGTTAAACGTGATATAAGCGGTAAGCTGGAAAGTGTATCTAGTAGGTTTTGTTATTGTCATTATTATATCATCAATGGGATTTAAATCCGTAAAGCATGTTGTTTTAAAAAAAAAATTATTGTAGATCGATCATGTTTTAACTTAAAATCTACAAGACATCAATCCTAATTAATACACACACAAATAATTAATTGACTTGAAGCCGAATTGGACATTATATAACTATGTTCTATTTGAATCAAATTTTTTTAAAAAAACATTTAATATATCTCTGATTTTTTTTTTAGTTTCTGGTATACATAGACGTAAATAGATTCAATAAATATAAAATTTTATGAAAGAATTTTACAATTATGAAAATAAGTACTACTATATTAATTTGTGGAACTTGGGAGATTGAAGGAGAGAAAAAATCTAAAGATGGATTTGTTTGTTTCTGTGTTGGTTAGAAATAATTGTTGCGAGAAAAAAAGGAGAAGCAGTGTAAGACAAATTAATTGTCATTGTCTTTCCTGCCAACTCCAAACAAACAATAATTCTAGTAACTAAAATAAATACTAAAAGTAAGATGTATGGTATATATATTATCAAAATTGATGGACCTCTCTTTTTGCAGCAAAGAAAAAATATCTCCCTACACGCCTTATTGCCAAGTCAAAACCCTTTAGAAGAGAACTATTCTTTACCTAATACTCACAATATATATTTAGTTAGTCTTCCAAAACATGTATTAGTTGTTAAGTTGGCAATGAGGTCAGTTATAAATACTATTAACAAGAAATTTTGGATGGGGGGAAGTAGATACAAATGATAAACCAAAAAGAAGAAATAAAATAATTGCATATTAATGATTCTTAACACATGACAAGCTTATCCAGGAAATGAACAAAAACTTACAAGTCTGAATTCTCATTCAGTTTTTTTTTGTTTGACAAAAATTATCATAATGTTTTTACGAAGGCCCCATTATGGAGGTCCCAATACTAAAAGAGACTTCATAACAAAATGCCAATTCGAAGGACTGACTAGTTGTTCCCATTTGCTTATGTTATAATAAAACCAAGATGGCTATGAATGACCTGTCTTTTCTTGAAAATGAAATAACTACTCAATATACAAATGAAAATTACATATAATATGGCAAATGACACTAGCGAATAGCGATCACTTTTACTTAATTCGCCACTTCATCAAGACCTGAACAAGTCAATTAAAGAATTTAAAGTGTTCATGGCTCCAACTATTCACTTTCATTGTTTTAGACTTTTTAGTTTTTGAGAATTCTAGCACTAATGAAACTGTCTATATCAAGATTTAAATAGCGACCAACAAGGTGGTGGCATAGTGGTAAGACTGGGTTGTTCCTTTGTACTCTGCCCTCCGAATTCAAACCCGATATTCTTTAAATCGGAATATTTAAAAGCTGATTCCGAATACTAGAAGGGGTTATAGATCAAGATCCGAAGCTTTCACTATTTAACCTAAACAAAAAAAAAGGATTTAAATGGTGACAACAATATCAGCAAATATGGAACATTGCCTCAGCTGTCTAACACATATTATTGAGTGATCATCACAAGTATCTTTTACATTCTACTATTCCTTTCTAAGCAACAAAACACATATACACAAATAAATAACAATACCTATGTACAACCCAAAACAAGGAAAATAATAAAAAGGACAAAAAGCAAGACTAATTCAAAATCATAAGTCTTAAAGAAGAAAAAACGCACCAAAAAGATATAATAAAACGGTGAAAGTGGTTGAGACGTTAGAAATCAAATCCAAAAAGCGTCCGCGTTTTCTATCTGTGCCGTGTTCCTAACTCCGTTAAACCACTCACCACCAACGACTTTTCAAAAATACACACGCTCCTGGGCCCCATAAAGCCAACCAACCAATCACGATCCTTGTTTTTCCCCGGGACTGGACCCCACCACTCACAGAAAACGCCGCACGTCACGCCACGTCAAACGTCAACCAACAAATCCGGTCTTCTCCCCGAAGTAAACCGAGTCATCCCACCTAAACCAGGTAGTACCGGTTCACCACCGTCAATCGATGATCTTCTCGAACCGGTACTATTCCCCGGCGGCGAGGAATTCCCGACATATTCCGGCGGAAGCCTTCCTCTGATATCCGTCGACCTTCTCACCGAAACTCTCGGCGGAGAGACTACGACATCCCTCCGCGGCGCGTGAACTCCACTCGCCGATAAGTCTTTGCAACCGCCTCCGGTTCTGAAAATCGCTCTGAAGCTAGCGAAAAACCCAGGTTTCTTAACCCGAACCGGTTTATCCTTAAACGAATCGGTTCGACCGGATTTTTGTCTCTGCATTCGTCGGCTACGATCACGTTTAGATCTAACTCTTCCGATACAAGAAACCTTGGGAGAACACGGCTCCGATAACGAAGGATCCGATTTCAATCTCGACCCGATCCGTTTCGGAATCATCAGAGTCCTCGCGATTCTGCAATTTCTCCGTTTCTTCGCTTCGTTGAAACACGTCTTCTGCGGTTTCGGTAATCTGATGATCGACGCTTTTGATTTGAGTGAGATTCGCTGAGAGCTCAAATTAGGGTTTGAATTGGGATTCGAATTTGAATTTGGAGCAGATGAGTTTCCTTTTTGTGATTCTTTGCGTTCGAAGAAAGCGTTGTCGTTTAGCCATTCGAGCTGAGCTTCTTTTGATAAGGAATAAGATTCCGGTGGAAAATCGACGGAGGAGATGGAAACGGGTCGGATCTTCGGGTCATGAGTTGAGTCTTCGTTATCGTCGGCTAGGGTTTCGCATGAGATTTTCCGGTCAGAGCCACCGGCGCATACTGAAGAAACGACTTGAGGCATTTAATCAAAGCTTATGTATGATAGAGAGAGAGAGAGAGTCAGAGAGAGAAGTTTTGATCCGAGTGAGAGGTAGTTTAAGGGGAAGAGAAGATAAATATACGAAATCGGGTATTTATATTTGCTGATTTATCTGATTTTGTTTAATTAATTTATATATTAGTTGACTTTTGTTCTTAACTAAAAAAATATGGGTTAATTACAAGTAGAATTTATAAGCTAAATTAAATTTATATGATTAATTGATTTTACAAGGTGCATGACAAGAATTTGAAGCCTTCACTCTAGTGAAGGCGTTGAGCATCTCAAGCTTCTCTTTGGACTCAATGGGATTTGTGGAGAAAGTTGCCTTCTTCAATCGTCTTGCGTTGTTTAGAATGTATGCAGCTACTTCGTTCTCTTCTTCTCTTTCCCAATCGTATCTTATCCACACAAATGTCTTGAGGACTTGTAGTTTAGGAGAGCTATCGAGCATGATCCTAAATAGATTCCACCACTCCACTTCACGTGTATGCATATCAAGATATACCAGCCGATAAAAGATAGCTCCGGTATGGCACTTAATCTATATGCATAAACATCATATTATTAAAACTATACATGCATACACCACAAATGAGTTAAAATTGAAAGTATAGTTACCTCCAAAGGTGATATGTCCAAGGAAAGACGTTTGGCTGACTTGAGAGATCCCAAAATCTTCTCATTAACGATATAAGAAACGTTACTGATATTTGCCTCAACTAACATTGGCGCATTCTCAATCAGACAACACCCGCAGTTATAAATCCCTCTAATTTTCAAGTATTCCAAAGAAGGAGCGTTTATCACATAGCCTCCATCCGCTAGTCCACCAATTTTACCGTCAATCAATAGTCTCTTTAAAGATGGTGCTGCGATGACCAAAGTCAGCACAACCTTACGGGTACATCGAGGTCGATGTATGGCCAAATCTTCAAGATTAGGACAGCCAGATATAAGGTTAAGAAAAGATTCATTGTCTTTGAACTCCACAGAAACAAGGTGTAGACTTCTGAGGGACTTCATACAAACCGGGGGAAGGAACATCTACAAGAGCCGAAAACTTGAGTTTCAAGGTCTCAAGTGTATCACAGAAAAACACACTACTTGGAAATCTGACTGAATCTGTTAAAAAAAGATCGAGCACCAACTCACGCACATGGCGTACAAAGGCAATTCCAAGCCATACTCCAACATCTATATCATATCTATTTTCAGTCTTATCAGTAACTTTTATATGCAAACTCTCCAAAACCGGAGCTTTGTGTGAAAGCAAAAACTTGCCAACATTCTCTGAAAATTTCGTTATGTCCTCCTGATCGTCAGATTCAAACTCGAGTTTCGGTACCAATTTCCAAAGAGACCGCCATCGTTTAGACAAAACACTTGTGGTTATAACAGTGTTTTTGGAAGTAGTGACAATATCTGTAGAAGCAACTCTTCAGGCAACTCACTGATCCTGTCTTTACCCATAATTCTCAAACTTTTCACCAACAAAACCAAAATAGGACAAGATTAAGAATTAGGGTTTAATTAGAGCTTGCAGTTAAGAACGATTTGTAACGAAACAGAGAAACATACCATCGTTCCATTGTCGTTAATTAATAGTACTGAAGAGACGACCAATTGAGTAGATTACTAATATCCTTCAGAATTATGCCTTCCAAGTGCTGCTATCGAATCAAAAACTCTCCAATCGCAGTCTACCAAATATTCAAGAGACCTAGAAGAAGAAGAACCTTTATTTAGAAAATATATTATTAAGTTATAGGGGTTGCTGACATCAGCAATATTGTATCCTATTTTTTAGTATTCGAAAATATAAATAAATTTTTATATCCTATTTTGTGATTTTTATTTTCCATTTTGTCCAATTTAACATATTCAGCAATATTAAAAATATATATATTCGTTCGTATATTATTATTGATTTATTTCCCAATTTCGTAAAATACTCTCTATTATTACTTTTCCCCAAAAAAAAAACTAATTATTATAGATATAGTGACATTTACATTAAAAGAACATTGTTTTTCTTAAAACTCCCCAACGAAACATAAATGACAAAATTTTCATATCAATGCCAAATAATAACAAGAATCTCTTACTAATAAAAGAAACTTTCTTAGGCCATCCACATCAGCATCTCAAACTTCTTTTTTAGACTGCCACGTCATCTTAATTAGGCTAAGAAAATCATTTATGAGTTTCTCTAAAAGTTTAATAAAACGCCTCTTCCCTAGACAAATTTTGACCTAAACCCATCGTCTCCCCCAAAGCCATGTTCTCTTCGGTTTCAAGCTTCTCTAATCTTCTATGACTGCCCACTTAGCTTTCTCATATATATTTAATACCATCAGCTAACTTATGGACTCAATTGCAGGATCTCTGGTTTTAAGCTCCTCCCATCTTACTTTTAACCCACAAGGCAACGACTACTTCACATCTAATTATCTAAATATGGTTTTTACTTTCAAAGTTCACACTGCCTTCTTGGCTGGAGAATGCAAACGACTATAGGTAAGAGATCTCCTTATTTTTCGCTCTCTCTTCACTATATGGGTTTTCAAAATTGGTATTGTTTTGACCATATAGAGCCATCTCTACCTTCTTTTTTGCCTCGCTGATTAATGATGTCAGAAAAAAAAAGTGAACGTAGGAGACCATCAACAAGCGTGTAAGCTTGAGTGCATCTGAAGGTAAGCGAGAAACATGAACAAGTGTTTAATGTATCTCCATCCTTGGTTTGTTCCTCTACCAGATTAGATAACTGAAAAAATTTTCCACTAAAAGCCCCCAACGACATTGGGAACAATGGCCTCGGAGATGACGATTCTGACGAAGGTAGCTGTAGCCTAATTTGGGATGAAGTAAGCATCAAACTATTTTCTTTATTATAACATTAGATTGTCTTCTCTTTCACTAAGATCTGAGACCTATCTTTGTATATCTTAAGCCTAATCCGTAGTATTTCAATGATGGTTGGTTATTTTTTTTGTTTTTTTTTTCACGATCATTGTTTCTTTGTTTAGTAGAAATTATGCAACACAACACGCTCCACTATGTAGAAATCATTTCTACTGTTCTATGCTACATCAGATTATTTTTATTTGTGATTAGATTGAATTCTCTTTATTGTTTCGGATTTAAGAAAGTATCCTTACCAAATTTAAATCGAGTGTGAGAGCAAAGGTTTTGAAATTGTAGAGATAGCTGCAATGCAAAAGAAACATGCATGTAAATTGTAGGTGGAAGAAACAGAGGATGTATGAAGTGTGCTTGATGATTAACTGAATATTATCGACAACCACCATTATTTTATTTCAAAACATTGCCAAGCAAAGAACAGATTTCCGTTGTACACATCTTTCAATTTGTTTTCGTTAAGGCTAGACATACTAGAAGAGATAAAACATTGTAGATGCTTGGTCATTATATTCTTATAGCTCCCAATTTTGATATTCAGTTTATAGAATCATTATCATGTTTTCTTGAGATCATGCCATAAGCCTAGGTTCCTACTCATTAGTTTCTTATAGTCTCTTTATTCACGAGACCCGAGCTTACGACTCATATGGGCAAAAAGACCTAATTGAAGTTGTATTCAATGTCGTAGTTAGGACTGTTTATATTCCTTAACTTGGTAGAAGGAAAGCACATATAAATATCAAGCAACTATCTCCATTACTTGGAGAAAGGGGAACTTTATCTTGCAGAAATAAAGCTTCTGTATTTTGATTTTGGAAAACGGGTTTGTGATCTATCGTGCAATTAATAATATTAATTTAGACAACACAAAATTTCTCCATGAATAATAATGAGTATATGTCTTACCACTATCCTTTGCTGAAATCTTAAATAGCTTTCTAAGATGTTGGGTTTAAGCAGCTATGTAGGATTGGAGCATCTAATTCATTCTGCTGTCTATTTTTAAATCATTGACGTCTCATTTTTTTCATTGGTGTTAACCCTTGCAATTCACTAACAAACCTATTTCACTTTACCATTCTATTCCATTTATCACATATATATATATATAACTAACTTAGTGAAAAGTGGAAGCTAAGTGCTATTATCAATGAAAACTAAAACAATAGAGGTAGAACTTATCTATAATTGACACAATTTTTTTTTAACTCTTTTCTTAAAATATGATGTTACATGTCGATGACAAAAAAAAAAAGAGTTACACGTCTTACTTCATTTCAAAAACTTCATATTTAGCGGATGAAATGAAAAAGAAGAATGAAATGAAACAAAATAGGGATGACTTGAAAATAAATTGTGAGATTATACAAATGAGACAAATACTATATAGACTAATAGTAGTAAAAAACATTAGAAAATTAATATATAATTTTTAAATATATATTGCAAAGAATAAATTTAAACATAGTTAAAACTGACCAATTAATTGTACCATACATGTTTTATTTATTTAAAATATTAAATACTACATCACATGATTGATTATTTTGTATGTATTCTAACGAAACTAAAAATTAAGGTAAAGCTAAATTAGTTCAATTGTCAAATGTATACCGGGCGTAGCCTGGATTATCTTCTAGTACAAGTAGAATTCTTAGAGCATCTTCAACAGTAGTGTTTTGAGGAATGTCTCAAGATTAATAAAAAAATAAATAAAAAAGTAGGAGAAAGTGTATGGTTTGAGAAACTTTGAGAAACTGTGTTTCCACTTGTCTTTTTATTATTGGCCAAATTTTTTTTTTTTATAATTTATAATTTAAATAAATAACTTATTTATTATAAAATGATTAAAATAATATTTTCGAGACACCCACACAGTGTCTAATGGATGGAGATGGTCTTAAACGTACTCTCCAAGTATCTCAATCTAAACATTGCTAAAAGATCAAAATGGATCATGTCACATTGAAACAAGAATATGAAAAAATGAAATAATTAAGAGGATGGAAACTCAAATGATCCATTTATGACTTTGGACAGTTAATTAATAGACAGACATAAAGGTGGAAGTATATATTCTACAGGGGACAAGTCTAAGGTTCTCTGCACATTGAACCTCTTCTCTTCGTTCTCTCCATATTAACAATATCAGGAGGTATATCCGGTAGAAATATGGAACTACTAGAGAACTGAGAATACACATGACAAAATCATAAAAAGGCCTAGAGATTCAGTGATCATCAAACAATGGAATTGAAAAACTTTGGAAAGTTCAAATGGTACTGGACTTAAAAGTAAGAGAATCCCGGACACTATCCATCAATTATATCAGGTTTAAGACCAACACTAGCTATCAGGTTTACCAAAACACAGAAAAGAAAAGTAGCCAAGAGTAGCTCAATCCGCAACTACCTGCAAACATCGTGATGCCATCAGTGGCGGATCCAGAAGATTAGTTTATGTAGGGCACAATATTATTTTTTTATATATAAATTTTATTAAAATATTTAGTATTTATACATTATTTAAATAATCATGCCATGAATACAAGAAATAAATTGCAATACTATCGTAAACAGATAGCTATATCTGAACATTGGTCTTGATGATAAAAAAATGGTATAACACTTACAAAGCCAGATTCCCAAAATAGCGACCGACAATGTTAATGCAAATTGACCTGAATTTTTTCTCTTTCCCCGTTCTTTTTTTTTCTTCAGTCGCTTAAAGCAATTAAAGTAAAATCTCTGTTACTAGAAGAGTTAAATACATATAATTATATAAAGATCATTCGAACACAAGGTGGCATGAATTTGAAGCCTTGACCAAACCATTCATCTCGTTGTGCATCTCAAGCTTCTCTTTGGATTCGATGGGTCTTGTGGAGAAAGTTGCATTGTTCAAACGTCTTGCGTTCCTTAGAATGTATTTAGCCACTAGGTTATCTTCTTCTCTTCTCCAATCATATCTTGTCCACACAAATGTCTCGAGGTGTGACAATAAACATTCAGGAACACGCTTTGGCTCCTTCCATTTTTCGCCAAACAAATCATCTTTATAACTAAAAAGCCTGATTTTGTTGATGAGACAAACACACGGCAAAGGGGAATGCAATGTATATTACTATTAGACCTTCAAAATAGCTAGCCGACTAAAAATGAGATAACTTACATCGATGAGCTTGAGGACTTGTAGTTTAGGAGAGTGATCGAGCATGGTCGTAAGTAGATTACACCACTTCCATTTATTTGTATACATCTCTAGACATATATACCAGCTGATAGAAAATAGCTCCGGCAGGACACTTAATCATGCATAAAAAGATTATATTATTAAAACTATACATAAACAACAAATGAGTTAAATTGCAAGCATAGTTACCTTCGAAAGTTGATAAGTTCAAAGAAAGACGTTTGGCTGACTTGAGAGATCCCAAAATCTTATCATTCACTACGTTGCTAATAGTTGCCTCAACTAGCTCTGGCGCATCCTTAAGCAGACAAAGCTTATGACGTTTTATCCTTTCAATTTGCAAGTATTTCAAAGAAGGCGCGTTTATCACATAGCCCACATTCCGTCCCCTAGTGCATTCTTTAATTGATAGTCTCTTCAAAGATGGCACCACAATTTTAAAATTCATTACACGAGCAAATCTTCAAGGTTAGGGCAGCCAGATAAAAGGTTACAAATGGATTCATCGTCTTTGTACGTCACATATTCAAGGTGAAGCGTTCTAAGAGACTTCATAGAAACGGGAGAAGGAACATCTATCTCAATAGGAGGATTCTTGAGTTTCAAGGTCTCAAGTGTATCACAGAAAAACAAGCTACTCGGAAATGTGACTGGCATGGAAAAGGGAATCCAAACTTGGAGTAAGAATTCACGCACGTTGCGTGCAAATGCAATTCCAGCCCATAGTCCAACATCTATATCATCACATAAACCTGTGAGATGCAAACTCTCTAAAACTGGAGCTTTATGTAAAAGCAAAGACCTGCCTACATTCTCTGCAGTTCTCCGATCCTGAGAATCGAACTCGAGTTTGGGCACCAGCTTCCAAAGAGACCGCCATGGTTTCGACAAAACACTCGTGGATATGACAGTTTTTGTTGGAAGAAAAGACAGTATCTTTAGAAGCAAATCATCAGGCAACTCACTGATCCTGTCTCTACCCATTACACCTTGAATTCTCAAACTTTTCACCAACAAAACCAAAAAAGACAAGATTAAGAATTAGGGTTTTAAGAGCTCGCATATAGAACGATTTGTAACGAAACAGAGAAATATACCATCGTTTCATTGTCGTTTATAGTGAAGAGACAACCAATTTAGAAGATTACTAAAATCCTTCAGATTTATGCCTTCCCAGTGCTGCTATCGAATCAAAAACGCTCCAAACGCAAACGCAGTCTAGCAATAGGCAAGAGACCCAATTATCGCTCGAATCTGGTTTAAGCTAGATATTTGCTTACACTTGTGATTGATTTGTTATCAGATCGGCGACTCGAGAGAGGACAACAGTTGCCCAATACATATCAATTTGAAGATATTATTAGTTTTCGGGGTTGCTTGCATCCTACGCTTCTTGTAGAGCATATAAGAAAACAAATGTTAATATTCTATTTTTTGTTATTTTTTTTCCATTTTTTCCAATAAAGATATATTCAGCGATACCCAAAATATATTCGCTCGTATATTATTTTTTCAATTTCCGGAAGTAATATTATTATGGTGACATTTACATTTAACAAAAAAAAAGAAGAAGCTGTTTTTCTTCGGAAAACTCCCCCAGAAAACATATATCACAAAATAACAAGAATAGAAGTATAATTTGTAATCGTACTCCAAGTATCTCAATGTTGAACTTTTGCCTTGAGCTCAGGTCTGCTCAAGGCTTCACTCTTGTCTTCACTCAGGTCACCTTCATGGCGTTTCTTCGGTTACGTACGCCTTCTCCGGACATGTTGCTTTGTGGAGCTAGATATGGCTAACTCTAGACACTAGACTAATATTACAAGCAAGAGCTTAAGCAACACTCTTATACATTCAACAACTCTAACAACTCACTTGACTCTAACTTAGACTTAGTTGAATATAGTTAGCACAACCTCTTCTTCTGTTGGCCCATAACTAAACCAACACAAAATACTTCAACAGTTTGGGCCATAGGCCACACGTGACGTTGACTTGCTTTCTTATTCTTCTTCCTTCGAGAACTTCTTCTTAATCAATGCTTCAGAGTCTTCTCTGTTCTTCATCTTCTTCTTCTCATTGAAGCTTGTTTTCTTGTTGCAGGTTTAATCAAAGATTCAACTCCAACACTCAATCTACACATTGTTAAAAGCTCTTGTGGAATCTTCTCAGTTCTCATATCACAATGAAACAAGAAGATGAAAAAAATGACATAAGAGGATGGTTCTCAAAGGATCCTTGAATTGGGACAGTTAATAGACAGATCGGCGACTCCAGAGAGAAACAACCCCAAACAGTTGTTCTTTTGTTCTTTAAATCCGGAGAGTTTTCTTAACTAAAATATTAATTACTGTTGAGAAATAGTGATGAAGAACAAAACATTTGAAGAAGCTTGAAGAGGAAGAAACGACAGCTCAGCATTGCCAACACACACACTTGCAGGACCACAAGGACTAAGAGTAGCCGTTTGTTTGCGCTCATAAAAGCTAAAGCAACGAGCAAAAGCAACCCTTATCCGTTTGTGAAGTTGCTGGTTTTGGCTAAGATCAATTTGAATTGGAATGCTGCCAAAGACCAAAAAGGCACCTTCGTGGAAGCTGCATAAGGAGACTAGGTCTAGAGTGTGTTTGTGTATATAAGTGGCGTTTTAGGAGAAGAGATAGACGGTAGACAGAAACAGAGAGAACTTCATTCATAGAATAAACTTGTATGAGAGTTCTTGGGGAAACCGAGAGAGCTTTGTAAGGGACTTTGGGGTGAGAGATCTCTTGTAAAACTCATTGATATAGTGGATTCCGGGAGACAGTTCCCGGCCCAGACGTAGCACCGTTGGTGTGAACTGGGCTAACAAGTTCTTGTGTGCTCTGTTCTTACACTCTGTTTTAACAGACATACTCGGTTCTTTTCATTCAAGGCTAGCGTTTTTGTGAACATTCAATCTCTAATACACTTAAAACCTTGGTGTGTTGTTGATTCAAGCCAAAAGGAATCACCTTTAGGCCTCTGTTTCTTAACATAGTGGTACAAGTAGAATTTATATGACTATTGATTCACCGTCACATATAAGGCGACAAGAATTTGAAGAAGCCTTCACTATAGTCAACTCGTTGAGAATCTTGCGTCTTTTTTCAAGCTTGTGGAGCTCTTTGGATTCAATGGGTCTTGTGGAGAAAGTTGCCTTGTTCAAGAGTCTTGCGTTCTTCATAATGTATGCAGCCACATCTTTCTCTTCTTCTCTTTCACAATCGTATCTTATCCACACAAATGTCTCGAGGTGAGACAACAAACATTCAGGAACATACTTTGGCTCATTCCATTTCCCGCTAACCACATCATCTTTACTAGCATCCTGATTTTTCTGACGAGACCAACACAAGGAATTAAAATGGGCATGCAATGTATATATTAGTCTATTAGACCTTCAAAATTAAATTCCAAAGAGAGACTATCAAAAGTAGCTAGCCGACTAATAAATGATATATCTTACACCAATGAGCTTGAGGACTTGTAGTTTAGGAGAGCTATCGAGCATGATCGTAAGTAGATTCCACCACTTCGCTTTATGTGTACACAGCTCTAGATATACCAGCTGATAGAAAATAGCTCCGGTAGGGCACTTAATCTATATGCATAACATCATATTATTAAAACTAGAGAAGCAACAAATAAGTTAAATTGCAAGCATAGTTACCTCCAAAGGTGATAAGTCCAAGGAAAGACGTTTGGCTGACTTGAGAGATCCCAGAATCTTCTCATTGACTATTTTCGAAACGTTTCTAATATTTGCCTCAACTAACATTGGCGCATTCTCAATCAGACAAGACCCGCAGTTATAAATCCCTCTAATGTTCAAGTATTCCAAAGACGGAGCGTTTATCACATAGCCCCCATCCGTTAGTCCACCAATTTTACCGTCAATCGATAGTCTCTTTAAGTATGGCGCTGCGATAACCAAAGTCAGCACAACCTTACGGTTACGGCTACCTCGAGCTCGATGTATGGCCAAATCTTCAAGATTAGGACAGCCAGATATAAGGTTACGAATAGATTCATTGTCTTTGAAACCCACAGCATGAAGGTGCAGAGTTCTGAGGGACTTCATACAAACTGGAGAAGGAACATCTACAATAATTGAATACTTGAGTTTCAACCTCTCAAGTGTATCACAGAAAAACACACTACTTGGAAACCTGACTGAATTTTTTAATGAAAGATTTAGCACCAACTCACGCACATGGCGTACAACGGCAATTCCAAGCCATACTCCAACATTTATACCACATCTTTTTTCAGCCTTATCAGTAACTTTGATATGCAAACTCTCCAAAACCGGAGCTTTGTGTGAAAGCAAAAACTTGCCAACATTCTTTGAAAATTTCGCTAGATTGTCAGATTCAAACTTGAGTTTCTGCACCATCTTCCAAAGAGACCGCCATCGTTTAGACAAAACACTTGTGGTTATAACAGTTTTTGTTGGAAGTAGTGACAATATCTTTAGAAGCAACTCTTCAGGCAACTCACTGATCCTGTCTTTACCCATAATAACTCGAATTCTCAAACTTTTCACAAACAAAACCAAAAGTAGACAAGATTAAGAGTTAGGGTTTAGAGCTTGCAGTTAAGAAACCATGATATAGAACGATTTTTAACCAAACAGAGAAACATACCATCGTTTCATCGTCGTTGATAGTGAAGAGACAACCAATTTAGTAGTTTGGCAAAGCCTCTTTCAGATTTATGCCTTCTCAGTGGTGCAATCGAATCAAAAACGCTCCTAACGCAAACGCAGTCTAGCAATATTCAAGAGACCCAATTCCCACTCGAGTCTGGCTTAAGCTAGATATTGAGGATTACATTTTGTGATTGATTTGTTATCAGATCGGCGACTCGAGAGAACAACCCCAAACATTTTGCCCAATGCATACATCAATTTGAAGAAATTATATTATTAGTTATAGCCTTATATATAGGGGTTGCTCACATCAGCAGTCTTTTTTTTAAAGATTCTAGGAAAACAAATGTTCATTTCCTATTTTTGTGATTTTTTCCATATTGTCCAATTAACATATTCAGCAATATTAAAAATATATTCGTTCATATATTATTATTTTCCAATTTCCGTCAGTATACTGTCTATAATTATTAGTTGCGTTTACATAAAAAGAAAATTGTTATTCTTCTGATCCAACAAAACATAAATCACAAAATTTTGATATCAATGCCAAATAATAAGAAGAATAGAAGTATAATTCTTAAACGTACTCTCCAAGTATCTCAATCTAAACATTGCTAAAAGGCCAAACTGGAATCTTCTCATGTCACATTGAGACAAGAATATGAAAAATAACATAAGAGGATGAAACTCGAAGGATCCAGGACTTTGGACAGTTAATACTTACTACTTTACTAGACTTAAGGAAGTATCCTCCAAGCAAGTCTCTGCACATCGAACCTCGTCTCTTCGTTCTCTCCATATCAACAATATCAGGAGGTATAACGGGTAGAAATATCAAATATGGAACTGGAGAACTGAGAACACACATGACAACATCATTAAAAGGCCCAGAGATTCACTGATCATCAAACAATGGAATTGAAAAACTTTGGAAAGTTCAAATGGTGGTCATAAAGTAAGTTGGAGAATCCCAGACACTATCAATCAATTATATCAGGTTTAAGATCAACATTTTTTAATCTTTTGCCAAATCAGTGTTTGTGATAAGCATTCTGGATAAATACTGGTATTACTTTCTACATGAACATATTCAGTAGAAGTTACCTTATTGCCCCGGCGAAACAGAAAGAGAGAGAGAGAGAGCATCAAGTCGCCAAGGTAATCACAGTGCCTTGTAATTCCCATGTGTAAGTTACTGAAATTGTATCATTGCGGAATTCACTTCGCCATTCCCAAAGATGATGAACAATCAAAGATAGAGGCGGTGTAACCAAGCAAGAAACTAGTGAAGGAGAAAAAGATCATACTGGTATTACTTTCCCACCAACGACCACTGGAGGGGTAAATATATGTGTTTTTGGGTTCTTCTCAAAGGATATGGTTTTGTTTGTTAGCCTCTCGAAAAACCCATCACTCAAAACTTACCCTATCAAGAACACAAGGCAATTGGCAACAATAGCAGGAACTGTTAGCCCTACTTTGTTGTGCAAAAGCCACCAGCCATGTACCAGAAAGAAGACAATTCAATCACAGAGTGATCAAGCATTCAATACCTATATTGTTTCCAAGTATGACTCTTACTTGCCAAGAAGATACTGTCAATAAGAAAAATTGAAGTATGTCCTGTTTGTGTTCAAGCTCACCTTTATATGCCTGAATGCTTAAGTGAAAGGGATCCACAAGAGATCTCTAATCACCAGCATGAAGCCCAATCTCTCTGCAATTATGGCCCACCTAAAAATTGAAAAACTGACAGTATTTAGAAAGATCATAGTAAGTGCGATAATGGAAATGGTCATATTTTGGTAAGATGAATATGTTCCATCACGACACCATGAACTTACTTAGAGGTCATGTATTATTCATGAAAAAAGTACTCCAATTCCAATGTATATAACTCAATTATAAACTATTGTAAGACTAACAAAACACGGATGATCAGAATTTCAAGAAGCGGGTATTGTAAGCAAAACCAAATATATATATACCGCACAGAAAATCTGGTATGGAATCATTGACTGACTCAGGAACCATCCTGCACAAGTCTTGCCAGAATAGAGATATTGATCAGCCATCTCAATATCTCATCATCCCGGCTAAACAAGGAATAATTCCCATCATCATAAACATGCATAACTGTAGATAGCATTATAAAAACCCGCTACTCATATCTGTAATATGCAAACTGAAGTAATGATGCTGCCCGGGCTTACAGATAGAAGAGAAAAATGGAAAGATTGATTACTTGAGATCTATGCTCATAAATGGAGGGTTCAGCTGTATTCCAAACCACCTATCACATGAAATAAAAAAGATCAGAATGAAGAAAATCAAAGCATCTGTTCTGAAGAAGCAAGTGAAAGCCAAACCAGAACTTTTGGTTTCACAATGGAGTTCAAAAGTTAAGTCACTGCTAGTGATTAAAGAGCAATCGACATTCTTTCTAGGAGAAATTACTTGAAACTCTTCGTGGTTCCATAGTCTTAGGCAACCCCAAAAAGCGTAAATAACTCCACTAGGTTTTTTTTTATATCATTCTACTGAAGAACAAGAAAGGTTTGGATCATATCAGTCTAAGCCTGCTTATTCTTCCTTACACTACCCTTGCCCAGACCACCAAAGACATACATCATCCCGGACCCAAATGATATATCTACAAATATGGAAATTCAGGTCCTACCTTCTTGATGACCCCCAAATCATCATTTGCAATCTGGACATTAACACAAAGGAAATGACAAAGCTTAAGTCAAAACAGATGAAATGCAAGTTCTCAGAGTCTTTTCGGCTAACTAGAGCACTGTTATCTTGGGTTGTGATGAGATCTTGCCTTGGCTTTTGGGAAATCCATCAAAGCAATCTCAAAACGAAACTCATCATCTTTTGGAAAATTGCCTGGCGCAAAGACTGGACAATCACTTTCTGCATAGTGCATTTCAGGTTTCATCTTGAACTGAATAAAAGGAAAAATTTGATAAAGACTTCTTCAGCCGTGAAGAACCAAGAAAGTGTTCTGAAATAGCTAATGGAAGATTTGGCGTATCAACTCACTGAAGTTGAGGTAACTCAAGTAAATAAACTAAACCCTGTTCTGAAACCAAACTACGAAACAAAGTAAAGAGACAAAGCTTTGAAATATACAAAAATGGGCAAAACACTCGAGCAAACATTATCTTTGACACGGTACACAAACAAGAACATATGTTTAAACAAAATCCTAATTACCATTGCAATTTTCAGCCTTGTACATCGTGGGAATTCCTTCGAGCAATCCAAGGATCATTTTGCTCTTTCTCAAGACATGTCTTATCGGTAAATCTCTCCCTGATGGAACATCAAACAACACATTTGATGAGTCCCTAACAAAAATGCTCAAATAAACTCCTTACTGAGAATGTTGGTCAGTCTCACCTCCACATTCTGACCTCATAAGCTTCCACTACTTCACCATCCAGTGTCTGTACACTGCAGTGATATAAATACAAATGTACTATTCCAGTGCCAGTCATGTACAAGATATCGTGAGACATGAATCAGAAAATGGTAACTACACTTACAAGAATGCCGATTTTTGCACAGATTCCGAAAAAAAGCTAGCAACAATATTAATGCAAATAGACCTGAAATTGGATTAGCAAAATTAATGGACATAAAAGTTTCGAGCTCACAAAATCCCAGGAATAGTAGAAAGACTTAAATCAAATCAAATTAACCATTGCATCGGTACGAAATTGAGAACCATCTGATAAAAGGACGCCGTGAATAACTTTTCCAGGGGAGAATTTCTCCGGAAACACCAGAGCAGCAAATAAAACCTAATTGTCAGAACCCAGGATACAAATTTGACAAAATCGGAAACCAAAAATCACAACAATAACAATTGCGAGATGGATTGAACCAAAGCTAAAGATTAGATTAGTAGAAGAACACCGAGAGATCCATATTTAATTTCCGCTTCACAATAATTAAAAACAAATTCAAAATGCAACAGAAAATAAATTAAGCGTGGGAGGAAGAAGAATTTAACAAACAATCCTAACCGCCCATCACGCCACGTGGTACAATCTGGAAGGTCGGCGAAGAGAAAACTCGCTTTTTATTTCTTTCCCGGCTCTTTTCTTTTCGCTAACAGAGTTCGTTCTCTTCCCCAACTCGACTTTTTTTCTCTGAAAAATCTCTCTCGAAGCTTCGGAGGAAAAATGCTTGGAGTTTTCTCGAAGCAGGTGGCGCCATTCCCAGAGTTGGACAAGTCGCTGAATCTGCACACCTCTGAGTCCGTTTCCGCCATGGAAAATTCTCTGGCTAAATACTACACTAACGAGTACGCGAATTCGTTTATGGTTGATATTCAGCCATGGTGTATGCTTGCAATTACAGTGGCTCCGACAAATTCTATCATCGCGAAGTAAGATACAACCTCTATCGATCTTAAGCTTATTGAGAGTTTTTGGTAAGATTTCATTGGATTGTCTTGTTCGTGACTCGTGAGATCGCCATTTATGTATGTTAGGGTTCTTTAGAGGTTATATATTTCCAGATGTTAGATTATCTTTAGGTTTTTACTTCGCAGATGTTAGATTCGCGTGCTGAGATTACAATTTCTCAATGATTTTTGGTTTGATTCGTATGTCGTTAGAGATCGCTATGATTTAGGGCTATGGAACTTTAGGTTTCGGTAATTTCTGTTGAGATCGCTTAGTTTAGTAAGTTCTTAAGAGGGAGACGATATCTTAAATTGTTCACTTAGTATGTTAAGATTGTTGTTGTGTTTAATTTTGCAGTCGTTTCCAAGCAAAAGACGATATGTTCTGTATATTGAGCGGTAGCATTGAGAATATAGACTATTTGGCTTCAAAATTCCACTTCAATAAGGACATTGATCAGCCTACCATGTTCATCGAGGCTTATAAATCACAAAGGCGCATTAACGATGGCCCAGAAACAAAGCTTCAGAAGGACCAACGAGAATTTTACTGGTTGAACTTAGTAAGAGCTGCCAAGGGGAAGTTTACTATCATTCTCTTCGATAACCTGAAGAAGACGGTCTTTGCTGCTACAGTAATACATTAACACACTTCATTTCCATACTTATGATTTGATTTGAAGCTTATATGATTTGAATGCTTTTTGTTTTACAGGATCGTGATGCACATCTTCCTTTCTATTGGGGCATTGATGTGGAAGGCGACTTGATTCTTACCACGAATTCTGATATGGCTCAGCTGGGGTGTCAAAGAGCTTACGGTAGTTTCCCAAGAGGTTGCTACATATCCACATCAGATGGACTGAAGACTTTCGACGATCAAAACACGGAGCTACATGTAGAAGAAGATGTTGATAGTGTGGGGGTTTCTTACCTGAACATTGTTATGGTTGTGGAGAGTCCCTCCAGCGGGAGTGGACAGGGCTCCACGGAGTCTGTGAACTCATCTCTTCGTTCTCTTACTCATTGATTCGTGTTTTCATCTCTTAGACTCTTACTACTCTTGCTATTCATCTCTTATAGCTATTCATTGTTACTTTGTCTAGTACTTGTCTTTCATCTCTTCCTACTCTTACTCATTGATACGTGTTTTCTTAGTACTCTTACTGATGAGTGTTTTCTTTCTACTCTTACTCTTTATTTTTGTTCGTTAGTATAACCAGTTAAGTACAGAGTAGTTTCCTAGACGACCAAAGATTCTCTTGGGTCCTACTAATCCCCAAATCACTGATGCGTTAAAGGAAACTCTGTCACTTGGACATGTCCATGGACTGTTTGCAGGTAGTCTTTCTGACAGATGTTTCCTAAGCAAGTACCATGTCACTGGTATGTTCACTGCTCCTATCCTATGAACTAGACTAAGAACATCGATCTTGGCAGTATCATCATGTAATGGCCTAGCTTGAAGTCGTTAAGGAATGAAATTGCTTGTGACATGCTTAATGTAACCAAAAGTTTTGAAGCAGACGTTAGCGATTGGTCTCCCCCATAACAACACACCCATGAGAAATTATCTGGAGTCTGTCACAACAGTTTAAAAGTGAGAAATTAGAAAAAACAAATCCAAAACATGTTTTCAGGATTAAATAGTGGAAGTTAAACCACCTGATTAGCTATAGATGTGATATATCTGACTATAACAGTGAAGGTAACGGCCATGAATGATGCTAGAAGAAGTCCCCACCAAGGCATTTAGATCTGTTCTTTCATGAAAATGCAGGGAACAAGATATAGTACCAATGAGAGACCGCAAAAACCACCAACTTGGTATGTCCATTTCGTAAACTTGCATGTTTCCAAATTCCCCTAAAGTAAAAGCTTGAACTTGTTACTCATCCAAAACAAGTATAAATCATATAATCATCCGTTTTTCCGCCATGAAAGATGGTTTTGTAGCTAAAAATTATGTTCCTCAAAGATTGGTCCTTTTCATTCGTCTTGAAGCCGACTCACCCTTTTGTGTTGTTTTCTTTTATTGGCCATTTGGTAGCATGATAATCTTTTACTGATCTCCTTAGCGATGAAACGAAATCTCTCTTGGCTTGAGAAAGTTTATATTGCTCTTGATCATTACTCTCCAATACTAAAGCATTACCCTGGCGTAAGCAAAATCTCTCTTTTCTCTCCACAAGTTCTCATATACAACGTTGTATAGTATACACTTTCATCAAACTTTTTGACCTTTCGTATCTTGCAGATTATCGTGATCTTAAAGCTTGTCCGGAAAGAACTAAGAGGAGAACCAAAGAGACTATCAGTCTACTGACCAAGTCTTATATGATCAAACTATCTCTTTCACACAAGTTATATTGTATTTCTGTTGTACATTTCCACATCCTCTGTCATTGTTTGTCTCTCTTTTTGGTATGTTTAGTAACTAAATAAATCATCAACAGCAAATATTGGAAACTGACAAGGAGATTCTTACGTCCTATTGTACAAATGACCACAGTTAGGGGAAAAGAGATACTGGTTTAATTTGTTATATGTCCAACCGGCCAACCCTACAAATCAATCAAATATTGCAATTGTAAAATCACTTTGCCATTCATCTCTTTCACCACTTACTCATTGATTTCATGTTTTAAATCTCTCCCTGGAAATCACAAAATCCACCATACCTTGAAATCCGGGACCAGTATAAATCCCTTCTAAAGCAATTAAAGTAACAATCTATATTAACAAAGTAAAAAAGCTCTTATCTTACTAGAAAAGTTAAATACATATAAGATTATTCGAACACTAGGTGGCATGAATATGAAGCCTTGACCACACCATTCATCTCGTTGAGCATTTCAAGCTTCTTTTTGGATTCAATGGGTCTTGTAGAGAAAGTTGCCTTGTTCAAACGTCTTGCGTTCCTTAGAATGTATTTAGCCACTACTTTCTCTTCTTCTCTTCTCCAATCATATCTTGTCCACACAAATGTCTCAAGGTGTGACAATAAACATTCAGGAACACGCTTTGGCTCCTTCCATTTCCCGCCAACCACACCATCTTTACTAGAATCCTGATTTTGCTGATAAGAAAAACACGCGGCAAAGAGGAATTAGTGTATATTACCCATTAGACCTTCAAAATACCTAGCCGACTAATAATGAAATAACTTACATCAATGAGCTTGAGAACTTGTAGTTTAGGAGAGCTATCGAGCATGATCGTAAGTAGATTCCACCACTTCGCTTTATGTGTATACATCTCTAGACATACCAGCTGATAGAAAATAGCTCCGGCAGGACACTTAATCTATATGCATAAAGATCATATTATTAAAACTATGACATAAACAACAAATAAGTTAAATTGCAAGCATAGTTTACCTCCAAAGGTGATAAGTCCAAGGAAAGACGCTTGGCCGACTTGAGAGATCCCAAAATCTTCTCATTGACTATATTAGAAACGTTTCTAATATTTGCCTCAACTAGCTCTGGCGCATCCTCAATCGGACAAAGCTCATAACCTGATAACCTTTCAATTTGAAAGTATTTCAAAGATGGAGCGTTTATCACATAGCCCCCATTCCGTCCACCAGTGAAATCTTTAATGGATAGTCTCTTCAAAGATGGCACCACAATAACAAAATTCATTACATTATTAGGGTAACCTCGATGCACAAGCAAATCTTCAAGGTTAGGGCAGCCAGATAAAAGGTTACAAATGGATTCATCGTCTTTGTACGTCACATATTCAAGGTGAAGCGTTCTAAGAGACTTCATAGAAACGGGAGAAGGAACATCTATCTCAATAGGAGGATTCTTGAGTTTCAAGGTCTCAAGTGTATCACAGAAAAACAAGCTACTCGGAAATGTGACTGGCATGGAAAAGGGAATCCAAACTTGGAGTAAGAATTCACGCACGTTGCGTGCAAATGCAATTCCAGCCCATAGTCCAACATCTATATCATCACATAAACCTGTGAGATGCAAACTCTCTAAAACTGGAGCTTTATGTAAAAGCAAAGACCTGCCTACATTCTCTGCAGTTCTCCGATCCTGAGAATCGAACTCGAGTTTCGGCACCAGCTTCCAAAGAGACCGCCATGGTTTCGACAAAACACTCGTGGATATGACAGTTTTTGTTGGAAGAAAAGACAGTATCTTTAGAAGTAACTCTTCAGGCAACTCACTGATCCTGTCTCTACCCATAACAACTCGAATTCTCAAACTTTTCACAAACAAAACCAAAAGTAGACAAGATTAAAATTAGGGTTTTAGAGCTTGCATATAGAACGATTTGTAACAAAACAGAGAAACATACCATCGTTTCATTGTCGTTTATAGTGAAGAGACAACCAATTTAGAAGATTACTAAAATCCTTCAGATTTATGCCTTCCCAGTGCTGCTATCGAATCAAAAACGCTCCAAACGCAAACGCAGTCTAGCAATATTCGAGACACCCAATTCTCGCTCGAATCTGGCTTCAGCTAGATATTTGCTTACACTTGTGATTGATTTGTTATCAGATCGGCGACTCGAGAGAGGACAACAGTTCCCCAATATACATATCAATTTGAAGATTTTATTAGTTTCCGGGGATGCTTGCATCCTACGCTTCTTGTAGCGCATATAAGAAAACAAATGTTAATATTGTTGTGAAACTTATTGTTATCTAATTCCATTCCATGAATAATGATATATATATATATATAGACATATAAAACTAGGGTTTTAGAGTACATAATGAATAACCTTGATGGGCTTATTGGGCCCGGTTATAAGTCCAATATGATGTATTATAACACTCCCCCTTGGACGGAGTAACCGGACCTGATGGTCAATCGGGATCTCGATAATACGCTGGGGAATGTTGCCTCATTAAAACCTTACCAGGAAAACCCAGTGGGAAAAACCATGGTGAAGGAAAAAGAGTACAACACGCATTACTCCCCCTGATTAGAGCATCACCGTAGATCTCTAAGTCTACGCATTCCTATTTGTTGGATGAGCTTCCGGAGTGTTGAAGCGGGCAATGATTTGGTGAAAAGGTCGGCGGAGTTATCGCATGATCGGACCTGTTGAACGCTGATCGTACCATCCTTCTGCCAATCCGAGGTTGAGAAGAATTTCGGTAGGATGTGCTTCGTCCGATCTCCTTTGATATAACCTTCCTTGAGTTGAGCAATGCAAGCCGCGTTGTCTTCAAACATAACCGTGGGCTCCTTATCTTCTTTCATACCACAATCTGATCGGATGTGCTGAGTCATGGATCGTAGCCAAACACATTCTCTGCTGGCTTCGTGAATGGCCAAAAGTTCTGCATGGTTTGATGAAGTGGTAGTGATTGTCTGCTTTATCGATCTCCAAGAGATAGCTGTTCCTCCATGCGTGAACACATAACCAGTTTGAGACTTGGCATTGTGCGGATCTGATTGATATACTGCATCAGCAAAACCAACTAGTCCATCCTTGTTGTGGTTAGTGTAAAACAGTCCTAAGTCTTTAGTACCTTGAAGGTATCTTAGGAGGTGTTTGATACCATTCCAGTGCCTCTGAGTTGGACATGAGCTGAAGCGAGCCAGGAGGTTCACGGCAAAACAAATGTCTGGTCTAGTGTGACTAGCCAAGTACATTAACGCTCCTACAACACTGAGGTATGGCTTTTCTGGACCGAGAATTTCTTCATCGTCCTTCTTGGGACCAAATGGATCACTGTCCAATCCTAGGCTCTGGACAACCATTGGGCTGTTCAATGGGTGGGCCTGGTCCATATTGAATCGCTTGAGTACTTTTTCAATGTAAGCCGCTTGATGCACAAGGATTCCTCCTTTAACGTACTCAAGTTGTAAACCCAAACAGAATTTAGTTTTACCTAGGTCTTTCATTTCGAATTCTACTTTCAAGCAGTCGACTGTTTGGGAGATTTCACCAGATGTTCCGAGGATGTTTAGATCATCCACGTAAACTGCTATGATTACAAATCCTTTGTTTGAGTATTTCTTGATGAAAATGCATGGACTGATGGGATCGTTTTTGTAGCCTTCTCTGATGAGATATTCGCTTAACCGGTTATACCACATACGTCCACTTTGTTTCAGTCCATACAAGGATTTGTTCAGCCTGATGCAGTATTGATCTCGAGATGCATGCTTATCTTTAAGCTCTATGCCATATGGTAATCTCATGTATATTTCATTGTCGAGGGGCCCATAGAGATATGAGGTGACAACATCCATTAACCGCAAATCTAGATTTTCTCTTATGGCCAGACTTATGAGGAATCGAAAAGTAGTTGCATCCACCACCGGAGAATAAGTCTCCTCATAATCGATTCCGGGTCTCTGTGAGAATCCTTGTGCTACAAGCCGTGCTTTATAACGAACGACTTCACCGAGTTCGTTTCTTTTACGCACAAAGACCCATTTATGGCCCACTGGTTTGACATTGAATGGTGTCCGGATGATCGGACCAAACACATTCCTGAGTTTGAGACTCTTTAACTCCACGTTTATGGCTTCTTTCCATTTTAGCCAGTCTGTTCTATGAGTGCACTCTATGATAGACGTGGGTTCTAGATCCTCTTGCGTGTTTGCAATATCAAGTGCTACTTTGTATGCAAAGAGTGCATTTAAGTCGACTTCTTTTCTGTTCCATTGGGTTCCAGACATGTTGTAATTGATAGAGATCTCATTGTTATCGATCTCGTCAGAACCTAGAGATTCGGCGTCCCGAACCTCTTCTGGTGGTTCATTAGAGTGAGTCTCAGCGCGCGCTATGTCTGTTATATTGGGAATCCTGGTTTCAACTATTGCACCTTTCTTTGATTTCCGTGGATTCTTGTCTTTGGAACCTAGAGGTCTACCACGTTTATTTCGTGATGCAGACTCTGTAGCAACTTGAACTTGTCCCGTTGGAACAGTGATTCGTACTGGTGCATTACAAGCTGGTATGTACGATTTGGTTACTTTGTTCGGGTCAGCAAAGGAATCTGGCAATTAATTAGCTAGCTTTTGATAGTGTATAATCTTTTGGATCTCCGAATCACATTCTAGAGTCCGAGGATCTTGCCAATTTAAGGATGTTTGATTCCATGATAGCTCTTTGACCAGCTTGTGTTTCTCTCCACCCAATGTTGGATATACCGATTCATCAAATTGGCAATCCGCATATCTGGCCTTAAATAGGTCTCCAGTGGTCGGCTCGAGATATTTGATGATGGTGGGAGAATCAAAACCAACATATATTCCCATTCTCCTTTGAGGTCCCATTTTGGTTCTATGTGGTGGAGCAATGGGTACATAGACTGAGCACCCAAATGTTTTGAGATGGGAGATGTCTGGCTCATGACCCTGTAATAATTGGGATGGGGAATATCTATGCTCACTAGATGGTCGGATGCGTATTAGTTCAGCAGCATGTAATACTGCATGTCCCCAAGCTGAGACCGGGAGTTTCGACCTCATGAGTAATGGTCGAGCAATCCATTGGATTCGTTTAATGAATGATTCAGCAAGTCTATTCTGAGTATGGACATGTGCCACAGGATGTTCAACGGTCACCCCCATGGCCAAACAGTAATCATTAAACGCTTGGGAAGTGAATTCACCAGCATTATCAAGACGTATAGTTTTTAGTGGGAAGTCTGGAAAGTGGGCTCGTAATCTGATGATTTGAGCCAACAACCTAGCAAAAGCTTGGTTCTGAGAAGACAACAGGCATACATACGACCAACGGGTCGAAGCATCTATTAGTACCATGAAGTACCGGAATGTCCCAGAAGGTGGGTGAATGGGACCACAGATATCTCCTTGGATTCTTTCCAGAAAATGCAATGTCTCTTTGAACACTTTTACTGGTGAAGGCCGAGTGATCAACTTCCCTTGGGAGCAAGCTGTGCACATGAGGTGCTGAGAGAAGACTCGGTTTTCTCGAAGGGTGTGTCCTTGAGAACTTTGGATTAATTTACGCATCATGGTTGTACCGGGATGACCAAGCCGGTCGTGCCAAATAGTGTAGTCTTGGAACCGGGCTTTGAGAGCATTATTAGCCTCAATCATACTGACCTTGGCATAGTAAAGGCCAGTAGATAAAGCGGGTATAGTCTCGAGGACTTGTTTATGGCCAAGTGTGATCATAGTGATCAGTAGGGATTCTTTATTCCCTTCACCCTGGGTTTCTATGTGGAAACCATTAAGTCTGATATCTTTAAAACTTAAAAGGTTTCTTTTTGAGCTGGGTGAGTATAATGCATCTGGAATGTCCAGATGTGTGCCGTTTGATAACAACACATGGGCCTGGCCGTGGCCTTCTATTAAGTTCGAGCTACCCGCTATTGTGCTAATATTCGCGGTTTGCATGATTAAATTTATGAAATAACTCTTGTCTTTGAGGATAGTGTGGCTAGATCCACTATCCACCACTATGATATCCTTTTGAGTGTTCATATCTTCAATTTAAACAAGAGGTATGATTTAAAAATGAGTAAATCATAAGATTCATAAATTAATAAAATATCAAAATGTCTGAAAATAAATAGCAAATGAAAATAAAATAAATCCCCAAAATGAAAAGAAACAAAATCAAAATAAGCAAGTGTTCAGATGATAGAATCAATCGAGGAGATCTGAGGTCTCGTAGTCCATGAGATCGGTCGGCTCGGTGGTGGTGTCGTTAGCATCAACTTGCTGGGCCATGTTAGCTTCAGCAGGTGCTTTCCCATGTTTCTGATACAAATCGCAATGAAACTTGGGAGTACGACAGTTCTTTGTCCAGTGATTGAACATTCCGTATCTGGTACAGGCAGACTGATTGGTTGGGTGGGCAGGGCGGTTTGGTTTAGAGATACCATGGCCTTTACCGGAACCATAACTGAGGTTATGTCGGTTGCCACGTCCGTTTTCGCGTCCACGCTTTCCACGTCCATTCCCACGTCCATTCCCATGTCCATGGCCACGATCTGAGGATCTGTCTCGCTGGACATTGTAGGATTCTTTGCGGGAATCTGGTACTGGAGCCGATCCCGGGGGCCTCTGGGCACTGTTCCTCATTAACAGGTCATTGTTTTTCTCGGCCAAGAGCAAACAGGATAACAAATCTTCGTACAATGTATGTTTCATTGCACGATATTGTTGCTGAAGCACAATATTTTGGGTATGGAAGGTGGATAATGTTTTCTCGAGGAGATCATTATCAGACACCTCTTCACCACATTGTTTCATGATTGAAACTATCCGAAAGAGTTCGGAGTTGTAGTCATCCACAGATTTGTAATCTTGGAACCGGAGTTCCTTCCAGTCAAACTTGGCTTGTGGCAAGAGCACCGTTTTCTGGTGATCATACCGTTTTTTCAGGGCCACCCAAAGTTCGAGTGGGTTCTCAAGAGTGAGATATTGCTGTTTGAGGCTTGCGGCCAAATGATGGCGGATATGAAATATCGCCTGGGACCGGTCTTTATCAGATGCGGTGTTATCCGTTTTGATACACTCACCCAGTCCCTTTGAGTTGAGGAAAATCCTGGTGTCCAGGGCCCATTCGAGATAGTTTTCACCGGAGACCTTGAGGGCCTCGAACTCGACTTTCTGAATGTTTGACATCTGAAACATGAAATTGATTTCATTAGGGGTTTGTTAAAAGGATAGTTATATGAAAATAATTAAA